TTATCCTTTCCAGTGGCTTCCTTCAGAGTACCAGGAGTAGGTTTTTATTACTCCATGCTCCATGTGCTGAGATATCTGGTTAGTGGCAAACTTCCTTTTCAGCTTGTCCAACACAAGAGTCAAACGAACGTTGTTTTCCGGTTCTCCAACCGGGGATGCAAACCATAGAAGTCATCTACCACTGTTCCTATATGCTTTATATTTAAAGGTTATATTTAGAATAAATTTGTTTATGCTAATAGGTTCCTGAGGATCTTGAGACCCTAATATATGAGCGCGTTGCATAATTTTTATGACTTACTCGTAGGACATTGCCTGATAGGACTACATTGATACCGATCAGCCAACCTACGCGGAATACATTGTGTTCATTGACTTTAGGCGCCTGACCGGCTGACGCCATGACTTCCCGTGACGCTGATTCACACGCGCGTGAGGAGAGATGGCCTTGGGCATCTCATCAGTCAGTGTCTATTATATTGTTACTAGTTTAAACTTGTTACATTTTGGGAAATCTGTATGTTTTAATGTTATCTATCCCCGTGTCTGGGGGAACATTTGAAATGTAAACTGTTATGAATTAGAATGTGAATTGCTTTATAATATTGCTTGCAATAAAAATTGTGTTTGGAAAAAAAAAAAATATTTTTCCCCAATGATAAAAAAACCCAGTGGTGATGAAATACCACCAAAAGAAAAACTCTATTTGTGTGAAAAAAATGATAGAAAATTTTGTTTTTGGAGACACAGTGTTGCTTAACATTGCAATTACCAGTTTAAAGCGTAGCACAGCGCCGCATAGCAAATAATGGCCTGGTCAGGAAGGGGCGGTTAGGTAAAGGTCTTCCATACTGGCAACCACCTCCATAAAGTACCTAGTACCTCCATACTGCACTCACCTCTATAATGTAATCTTAGTACCTTCATAAACCACCCACCTTCATAATGTACCTCATACCTATATAATGCAACCCACCTCCATAAGGCACCCAGTACCTCCATACTGCATGTACCTCCAAACAAGTACTGTCAAATGAACGCCCCCTGATGTGAAACCTGATGAGTGTGTGTATACATTGCAGGCACCTGCTGCACAGTATGATTGTCCATGACAGAACCTCATTTTCGGGATCAACCCCGTACAAGGTTCTGGTCGGGACAGCTTTCAAAAAATCTGTGAATGTTCCGGGCAATTAGGGATTGTTCGCAACTATGAATCAGTCAGGCACAGTAGTAGATATAGGAAGACAAATAGATCACATGTAAGAATAAAATGATCATAGTCAACCCCTCAGGATAGATTTTTTTCTAAGTGGGAAAGGTTAAAATCCCTATCAAACATTCTTTTTGTAGTTAACTTTTTATCCATTTTCAAACATTTACAACACAAACAGGGTTGCATAGAAACACGGTATGGTAACCACAAATCAGTGAAATAGAAAAAAAAAGAAAACAGAAAAACAGGCTCATCAATGAGAGGTACATAGATGCATACAATGTCAATACATAAACAGTGAATTAGCAATCATTTTCAGACAATATGAGCAGACAAGTCTATAGGTATCCCATGGGTCCCTAAACTGCTTCAAATGTGGGAACAGAATTAGTGTGCAAAGCAGTTAGGTACTCTAATTTTCTAATCTCTGCTATAACCTTCAGCAATTCTGATAGTGTAGGGGGTGTAGTAGAAAGCCAATGCATGGGAATGGTTCTCCTGGCCGCTGTTAAAACGCGAGAGGAACATTTTCTTGCAAATTGGAGAGGCCTGAAAAAGGTAGGCCCAACAAAAAATGAATGGGCTCAAATGGAATAGAAACCCGCAAAAGTAGCCGTAGTGAGTTAGGACCTCTCTCCAATAGTGTGCAATGTACTGGCAGGCCCAAAAAATGTGGAAAAGAGTGCCAGTTACCTCGCCACAATGCCAGCAGACAGAAGAAACATTTGGATTACGAGCATGGAGAACCTCAGGCGTCCTATACCAAAACATCAGGATTTTATAAGTATTTTCTTTATATACTACACATAAAGAAGATCTGGAAGCAGCCACCCAAATCCTGCTCCATTGATCTAAGGCAATGTCACATTGGAGGGTTCGGGGCTATTTACGCTTATAAAGGTGGGCATTAATAGAAAGGGGGCAGGCGTCTAAATGCAGCTTATATGTGGAGGAAATTATTCCCCATTGGTATGGGCCTTGGATACAGATAGGGCTCAAAGGGGGTTAGGCTTCTCAAGAATCAGAGGAGGCTTTGGAGGAAAAGAAATTACGTATCTGCAGCTAAACATAATATTGGTGGGGTGGCATACGAGTGGCTTTTTGAATATCAGGGAAGGATTTAAGCTTATGAGTCGCTGGATGGACCAAGTGTCGCAGCTGAAATAGGTTGGCCTCAGTCCAGGGATGCACATGAGCCAAGTCCAAGCTATCTGGGAGGCATGGGTTAAATATGACATTGGTCAAGGGGGAACACAGGAGGATAGGGCGAATTTAACCCTACAACACCGCCTCCATATACTGTAGATAATGTGAACTGCATGGGTCCAAGCAGGAGATGTTTGTAAGAGGTGTCAGTGTTGGCCATAGACCAGAGGAGGGAACAAGAGTGTGTCGGACTATTGTAGCCATTCAATTTGACCCATTTATTAGGGGGCGTTGGAAGGACCATGACACAAGAGCCCGTAGGTGGGTAGCTAAATAGTACGTCAAAATGTCTGGACCCCCAGATCCCCCCCTAGATCGAGGGGAGAGAAGGACAGTACGGGCAATCCAGTGAGATTTATTATGCCAGATGAAGTGGAGGAAGGATTTCTGAAGGGAACGCAAATAATGAAGCATATGACTTAAAAAACAGTGCATGGAAAAATAAATACATGAAAAAATTCCAGTAATATCAAAATCCTAAACTTAGGAAAATCAAGGTAAAAAGTCCTAGTGATGCTGTGTAGCATAATAAGAGGTCCTTGTATATTCAAACACCAGAGTGCACCACCACCTGTCAGGAATGGACTGGCCAGCAATGGTGGGACTCGCCTGCCTTATGGGCTGCAGTACCAGGGCTGGCCAGCGGGTGCTCCCAGCAATCAGAGACTCAACCTTGCAGCCAGCTAAACACCTGAAACTGCTTATACTGGTGTATTTAAGGGATGGCCAGACCTGCAGACTTGGCCTTGTGTTTGTTTTTCCTGGGCCCTGTATCCTGTTCCTGCATCCTGTTCCTGTTCCTGTCTTGTTGCTGACCCTGCCTGATCTGACCTCTGCTGACTTCTCCTGCTCTGACCCCGGCTCGTTCCTGACCATCCCTCTGCCTGACCCTCTGTACCTCACGCTGCCCGCTACCTGCTGAACCTGGCTTGTGACCCCGACCATTCTCCGCTTGCTCCCCCTGTACCTACCTGCCCGATTGATATTGACCTGGCCTACCTGATGACGCTTGCATTGTATGTACTGTTATCTGTGGGTGGTTGTTTGGTTCGTTTGCACTGTGTTATGTTTTAGTATTGCACTGCGTTTATGTTTGTATTGTTAGTGTCAATAAATTATATTGTTTATAACATATCTGAAGTCTGCGTTTCCCTGCGTCAGTCACACACCTCTGGTCATACCCGGGAGCCCTGACATTACACCAAGGCCAATCCTGACCAGAAGTGGCTGCACCCAGGGAAGCCATCTTGGTTTGTTGATGGGAAGGATGGATCTTGATGAGGTTGTGTATTTATATCTGCTAGTGTTTGATGACAGAGAGTATGCTTATCAAACTCTGAAGGAGTATCCCCGGGATGAACTGCTAGAATGTTATACGGCTCGCTTATGTTCTAGTAGATCAGGGCACAGAGTTTCTCTGAGGTGCAGCCATTGATTTAGATTTGTGCGGAGTTGGTTTCATCTGGTACCCCCCCGAATGCAGGGATGAATTTTTTGCCGCCATTTAGTGCCGACCAGGTAGAGTCCCTGGTATGGTTATTAGAGGATGATGTGGATTGCTTCTTGGAGCGTTATTCTGCATGTTCACCACAGATACTAAAGAGATTGTATAAACGCAGTGCAGTCTTTGTTCAGACAGGCTTTGTGTAAGCTCAGCTTTGTTCAACCCATACTGCAGACATGGACAGATTTGTTGCACCCAGCCTCAGTCAGCCTACAAAAACCCAGTCCTGCTTCTAATCTATTTCCCCAAAGCTCTATTCCTGCATTCCCAACAGCTCCTCCTGCCCTGCTATCTACCGCATGTCAGTACCCTGTTCCCACTAGCTGCACCTATCCTGCCTTAACCCTGTAAAAAAGCCCTCTGTAGCAACTGCTCTCTCCCCTGTTCCATCCTCCAGCTCTTCTCTGTCTCCAGCTGCTCCATTTGTTTGCAGACCTGCGTTTACTTGCAGTGCTCCAGTAGTTAAAACCAGAAAAAAGCGGAAATTTCTTCCAACCAATACCATCCTGCCAGTATCCAAACCGGTGAGCCTGCCGTCTGAGAACCTGCCTTCCGTGGTTCAGCCTGGTGCCTCGGCACCCGCACTTCAACCTGAGAATGTCCTGTACCCGGCCTGATGTCTGTACCCAGCCTGATGCCTGTACCCAGCCTGATGCCTCTATTCAGCCTGATGCCTCTATTCAGCCTGATGCCTCTATTCAGCCTGATGCCTCTACTCAGCCTGATGCCTCTACTCAGCCTGATGCCTCTCTTCAGCCTGATGCCTCTCTTCAGCCTGATGCCTCTACTCAGCCTGACGCCTCCACTCAGCCTGACGCCTCTACCCAGCATGATGAACTGATCCAGCCTGATGATCCTATTAGGCCAGTTGACTCGATGCCCGCTGTTGATCCAGATGATCCGTACCTGATCCGGTGCCCGCTGTCGTGCCAATTGACTCAGACCCGCTGTCGTACCTGGTGACTCGGTGCCCACTGCCTTGCCAGATGACGCGGTGCCCGCTGGCGAGCCAAATGTCCATATGGTGGGATATGGCCACCTTTGAAAAATATCTGAAAGATCGTTAATTCCAAGGAGGTTTAGATGGGATATTCCCATTTGTGATGGGTTAGATGATGTAAGAATCAACCGAAGAATGGTTTGATTTTTTCCATGAGAAAGGTTTAGAACTGGTGAGATTTCTAATGAAGAGAAAACAAAGAAAAATGAGGATTTTAGAATCACAAATAGGAGAAATTAAAAAACAAGTTGGAACCTATGAAAGACTCTGTGGACATAGGGCCATATAATAAACGTCTAAATAAAGATCTTTGAAAAATTAGACCAAGAGAAGAAAAATAGGAAAACCAAAAAATTCCAGAGGATTTTAATGATTTTAAAAAAGAACAAGTTTTTATTAAATGGCAGAGTTACCCAAAAGGAGACAGATATTGGATCCAATAAATACCACGTTCCCATTTATCGATTAAAGATCAAAAGATGGATGAAAACAGACCCCCACTCCTATGCCGCCAAAAAATAGCATTTAGAGGTAATAATGATCAGAGAACTAATCAATATGTACCACCGTACCATACTCCGCATAATGGATGGAGGCAGCAACAAAAGAAAGGAGGTTCTTATTATAATAATAAAAATAATAATAAGAAAATAGAATAATAATAAACAACAAAGGGTAAAAATGGAGGTAATGGTTGGAGACCTAATCCACAGTGGAACCAACCAAACAACTAATACACTGACCAGAATACTATGGCCCCCCCAGGCCCTGAGTATCACAAAGACCGTACAATTAATACCCGGAAAGGAGCCCAAGATTTTTACCCACAAGAAAAGGTGGTATCCACCCAATGGAGAAGGTAGAAGCCCCTATTGAGATGTCTAATAGATATGAGGCACTAAGAAATGAATTGCCACCGAGAAGAGATTTTTTAGACAGAGACAGGAAGTCCGGAAGGAGTAAGATGGAAAAGCCCCCCAAGAGGGGATAGTGTAGGGCAGGGTGGAAACAGCAAAGAAAAAGAGAACAATAGGGGAAGCGTTTTTTAATTTGAGTGGGATGCGATCTATCTAAGAAGAAATCATTGGCGTTAGATAAAGGCCTAGAAATTCGCACCACCCAAAGCAGCCAATAAATTTGACACCTATGTTGATGCTCAAAAATTCACAATTCGCAAGTTAAATATAAAGAAGTATTTCCTAGGACACCAGGGGCAAAAAGCAATGTAGCCAGTGGTTCGAGTAATGAGATTTTACATAGTCAATTAAAAAATAAGTCACTTTTTAATCCACAAGTTTCTGGTAATCAACCACATTGAGGTTTTTTAAACGTTATGATTAATAGAGATTTGGAAATCTCAAAATTCCAAAACCTATCAACTAAACATTTGGTATCCAGACAGGAATTAATAGACTCTCCAAAAGAGATAATATAGTAATCAGACCGGCAGACAAAGGAGGGGGATTGTGATTCTGTCGAAAGATTACTATTTACAGGAATTGAATAAACAATATCTGATTATTACTAACATATAAAGTTATTCCAAAAGACCCGACAATTAATCTATAAGAAGAAATTGGTTAAAACTGGTACAAAGAAGGAGAAAATAAGAATAATTTTTAAATAAAAGGATGGCAAAATTCTATAGTACCAGAAATGTGTAGATACCCATATATATACAATTCCAAGATACATAAAAATATGAGGAGCCTCCAGGTAGACCCATTGTAAAATGGAAATACAATCGCATCCTTTAGCGAGACTAGGTCAATATGTGGACTTCTACCTACAACCTGCCAGTTCGAAGGACCAAAGAGCCCTATCTACGTGACACCAAAGCACCTAATTCAACTACCTGAGATAAAATAGAGATAAACTCGGGGAAGTTATTCTAGCAAGAGCGGATGTAGCTTCTCTTATATACTATTATAGATCACGATGGAGCAGTGAGGCAGCAGCTTGGGGCCTGAGACAATATACTAATATTGGATGGCCACAAAGTGAAATATATATTAAAATGTTTAGAATTTGGCCTCCAACAGGATATTACTTCTGGCATGATTGAGACTTTTTTTCAGGCAAAATAAAAGGTAGTCGCAATGGGGCGTCTAAGTATGCCCCCAGTGTGGGCCAACTTGTACCATGGCCCACTGGGAAGAAGAGGCGATCTTTAGTCAAACCCCCCCCGAGGAAACTTATGTTATCAATTTCCAGATATATAGATGACGTGATCATTATATGGAAAGGAAACAGTGAGTCACTACTAGTTTTCTGAATAGAATGAATATAACAATAATAGAAATATAAACTTCTCATTGACATATGATAATTGTCAAGTCAATTTTCTAGATCTTAATATTAGAATAAAAGAAGAAAATATAATTACAAAAATTTGTACTTTAAGGAAGTAGATGAGGAACGGCTTTATACCAGTAGACAGTTGCCATTTCCCCCCATGGCTGTGTATAATATTCCAAAGGACCACTGGTTAGGCTAAAAAGAACCATACTCAAGGCAAATTCATTAGAATACATAGAACAGGTACGGAAGTGATGGGGTATAAATTTTTTATAAACAAAGGGTACCCAAAACAATTCAAATTGAAAGAAGATTCATGAAGTCGGGAAACTGGGAGAGGAATTCGCTAATAGTGGACAAGAAGAAAAGATGAGAACTTGACAGTCAGATTTTCTACAACTTGTGCTGGACTTTAATGTCCCTTACCAAAAAAATATCTCCAAATATACAGGAGACATTCACCCTTCCATTCTGAAATCTGATCCTGTGTTGAATCCCATTATAATTTAGATGATTGCCCAAAATTTATCTATAGAAGAGCACCCACACTAAAGGATGAGGTTGGTAAAGAGTGTGTTATTCCACCTGATAGGAAGAAAAAATCCACTTTTTAATGAGATCAAATAGGTTTTTCTTCTTTCTTCTTATTTCCCGGTGCAGCACAGTGTTATGGGTGTAGGGAATACGAGAGGATAAAAGACGAAATGAATGTAAAAACCTTTAATGTAATGTTGATGGAATGGATTCAAAATCAAAGATTTCATTACGTATGCCGTACAGAAGTTGTGGTTTATGGTTTGGAGTGTGGCTGTGGCTATCAATATCATAGGCAGAACCAAAAGGCCACTCTGGTAACCATTAGGGAACATGTTCCGATCAGCATGTACATAAAAAATGTTACTCCGAAACACTAGTGTATCCAAACATTTTTTAAAAAAACATAATAAGGATCCTTCTGCGGTTTGAGGTTCTGGGGATACAAAAATTATTACACTAAACATGGGAGAGGTATAATAGGATAAAATCTCTTAGCCAGGCGAGAATCCCCGATGGATTTTCACTATGCATGTTACAGAGCACCTTTTGGGACTCAATGTGGAATTCGAATCTAAATTGTTTTATTAGTGACTTTTAAATATTTAAGATTACAATTTTTACATTCTTTTTAGGAAGCCCCTAGTGGTGGTATTCGTATATGAATGGATATATATTTACTGATATATTGGCAATCTATTTCTTTACATGTCTATTGCTTTAGAATAGACGGGAAAGTTAATGGTTTAGGTAAATAATTTATATATTATGAGTTTATTTTAATTATCATGTGTATTAAATAATGTTTTTAGTTTTAATGGTTTTTTAAACATATGAGATATAATAAAAAGGATTGAATATAAGATTTATATATATCAAATATGAGTGAATACTGTAAACTCAAGCCATAGGTGTATCTGTATGACCCCCTTTATATATTGAGATTTCTTATATATCAGTAGAGAGGTTTTTTCTGGGAAAGGTTAAAATAATAAATGTTTTTTTTCTATTTTTTAATATTGAGTGCAAAAAACTTTTTTGAGGGATATACAATTGGAACATAGGGTAATTAAAAACCTAAGTTTGCTCTATATGTAGAAGGGCAATCTAATAAGATTTGTAATATATGTATTTGTTTATATACCTATATATTTTTGTATATTTTTGTTACGTTTTAGTGTTTTATATTAAAAAAAAAATTTTTAAGTGTTGTCTATAAAAAAAATTACATAGGGTGCATTAAAGTGGTTTTTATTAATATTAAAAGGGTTTTTTATATATCGCGGATTAAAATATAGTGCATAGATCGAGGTTTTTCCCCATAGGGGGGACATTATGTAATGATTCCTCCGTGTGGTTGAGTGAAGATAGCGGGCTTCGGGAAAATGGCCGCCGGGAGCCCGCCCTTCAATTGGGCAAGAGAGTTTCAGGCTGGATCCTATTTAAAGGCATTCAGTCACTGGTGGGCGTTAACCCTGATTGAAGTCACGACGCACGTGACCGCAACGCGTCGGTACGCCATATCCGGTTTGGAACTACGTCACTTTCCGGTCACGTGGGACGCATGTCCGAACGGGAGCGGCCATATTGGTTTCCCCCTGTGTTCATAAGATACACCTATGGGATGAGGTGGAAGGCTTTTTGTAACAGGAAATCCATGTGAGTACAACCGCTATGTAATTAGAAGTGGCTTTGCATTAAACAATATTACACTATGGGAAGCTCTGTTTTGTGTCCTATATGATATATGAGTAGGAGGAGAAGTGAGACCCCTGTGATCACCTGCTGAGCTATCGAGAGGAGGAGGAGAAAGTTTTGGCCATAGAGGATAATCAGTAGCCTTTTTGGCCCCTTGAGGGTCAGTGTGGGGAGGTGAGCAGGCACTGCTGCCATTTGAGGATTTGTGTTTGAGCACTAGAAGTGAAGATCACTGTTCTATCACAAGCTACACTTGCATGGACTTTTTTTATTTATTTTGATATATATATGATATATGATTAATACATATATATATGTTCTGTATATGCACTTAAAAAAGTTTATTTGTATACACTTGTGTTCACTTTAATTATTGCACTTTTTTCATTTAAAACAGTGAAGGAGACTAAGGAACCCCTTGGAATCATAAGATTATTTTTGTCCACTGGTGTGTTTATTATCACTGATAAATTAGGAAATTCAGTTTGGTTTTTTAATTTTTGGTTGTAAATGCTACCAGCATTTAATAAGGAACTATTAACACGTAGCACGTAAAATATTCACTGATGGCACTTTAATATATATAGTTAATATATGTTTATTCATTAAGCGCTTCACTAATTTTTTTTGTACATATAGAGCCAAATGGAACCTGATGCCTGGTGACCCAGTGCCCGCTGTCATACCTGGTGACCCGATGCCCGCTGTCGTGCCAATTGAGTCAGAGGGCCCCACTGTCGTGCCTGGTGACTTGGTGCCCACTGTCTTGCCAGATGACGCTGTGCCCGCTGTTGAAGCCAAATGACCTGATGCCTGGTGACCCGATGCCCACTGTTCAGCAGCCAGACGATCCAATGTCTGACCCAGTGCCCGCGGTCATGCCAGTTGACTCGGAGCCACTGCCTTGCCAGATGACGCGGTGCCCGCTGTCGAGCCAAGTGACCTGATGCCTGGTGACCCGATGCCCGCTGTCCAGCCAGACGATCCATTGTTCTGACCCCTGTGCCAGCGGTCATGCCAGTTGACTTGGAGGCCCATTGTCGTGCCTGGTGACCCGTTTGCCTGTCGCTCCGCCTGGGGTCCGGCGCCCGCCGCTCCGCCTGGGGGCCCGAGACCTGTCGCTCCCCCCGCCTGGGGGTCCGGCGCCCACCGCTCCGCCTGGGGGTCCGGCGCCCGCCGCCCCGCCTGGGGGCCCGAGACCTGTCGCTCCGCCTAGGGGTCCGGCGCCCGCCGCTCCGCCTGGGGGCCCGGATGCCCTGTCGCCCCGCCTGGGGGCCCCGCGCCCGCCGCTCTGCCTGTGGGCCCGGCGCCCGCCGCTCCGCCTGGGGGCCCCGATGCCTGTCGCCCCGTCTGGGGGCCCGATGCCTGTTGTGCCCCATCTGGGGGCCCGATGCCTGTCGCCCCGTCTGGGCGCCCCGATGCCCGTCGCCCCATCTGGGGGCCCGATGCCCGTCGCCCCTTCTGGGGGCCCGATGCCCATCGCCCCGTCTGGGGGCCCGATGCCTGTCGCCCCTCCTGGGGCCCGGCGCCCACCGCTCCGCCTGGGGGCCCGATGCCTGTCGCCCCGTCTGGTGGGCCCGCGATGCCTGTCGCCCGCCTGGGGGCCCGGTGCCTGCTGCTCCGCCATGGGGCCCGGTGCCTGCTGCTCCGCCTGGGGGGCCGAGACCTTGTTGCTCCGCCTGGGGGTCTGGCGCCCGCCGCTCCGCCTGGGGGCCCGAGACTGTCGCTCCGCCTGGGGGACCGGCGCCCGCCGCCCCGCCTGGGGTCCCGAGACCTGTCGCTCCGCCTAGGGGTCCGGCGCCTGCCGCTCCGCCTGGGGGCCCGAGACCTATCGCTCCACCATGGGGGTCCGGCGCCCGCCGCTCCGCCTGGGGGCCCGATGCCTGTCGCCCCGCCTGGGGGCCCGATGCCTGTCGCCCCGCCTAGGGGCCCGATGCCTGTCGCCCCTCCTGGGGGCCTGATGCCTGTCGCCCCGTCTGGGGGCCCCGATGCCCGTCCCCCGTCTGGGGGCCCGATGGCCCGTCGCCCCGTCTGGGGGCCCGATGCCTGTCGCCCCTCCTGGGGCCTGGCGCCCGCCGCTCCGCCTGGGGGCCCGATGCCTGACGCCCCGTCTGGGGGCCCGATGCCTGTCGCCCCGTCTGGGGGCCCGATGCCTGTCGCCCCACCTGGGGGCCCGGTGCCTGCTGCTCCGCCTGGGGGCCTGGGGCCTGCTGCTCCGCCTGGTGGCCCGCTGCCTGCTGCTTCGCCTGGTGATCCGATATGCCTCTGCCCGGAGTCCAGGGCCGATGTGCCTCTGCCCGGAGTCCAGCCCGATGTGCCTCTGCCCGGAGTCCAGCCCGATGTGCCACCGCCCGGAGTCCTGCCCGATGTGCCTCCGCCCGAGTTTAGCCCGATGTGCCTCTGCCCGGAGTCCTGCCCGATGTGCCTCCTCCCGAGTCCTGCCCGATGTGCCTCCGCCCGGAGTCCAGCCCGATGTGCCTCCGCCCGGAGTCCAGCCCGATGTGCCTCCGCCCGGAGTCCAGCCCGATGTGCCTCCGCCCGGAGTCCAGCCCGATGTGCCTCCGCCCGGAAGTCCAGCCCGATGTGCCTCCGCCCGGAGTCCAGCCCGATGTGCCTCCGCCCGGAGTCCTGCCCGATGTGCCTCCGCCCGGAGTCCTGCCCGATGTGCCGCTGCCCGAAGTCCAGCCCGATGTGCCGCTGCCCGGAGTCCAGCCCGATGTGCCGCTGCCCGGTGTGCCGCTGCCCGATGTGCCGCTGCCCGATGTGCCTCTGCCCGGAGTTCTGCCGATGTGCCTCTGCCCGGTGTGCCGCTGCCCGGAGTCCTGCCCGGTGTGCCGCTGCCCGGAGTCCTGCCCGGTGTGCCAGTCTTTGATATCCCGCCAGTTACCAGACCCGGGCGGTGGAACATTTTGCCCAGCTAGGACTGTTTGGAGCGTCCTGAGGCCGCTCCTTGAGGGGGGGGGGTACTGTCAGGAATGGACTGGCCAGCAATGGTGGGACTCGCCTGCCTTATGGGCTGCAGTACCAGGGCTGGCCAGCGGGTGCTCCCAGCAATCAGAGACTCAACCTTGCAGCCAGCTAAACACCCTGAAACTGCTTATACTGGTGTATTTAAGGGATGGCCAGACCTGCAGACTTGGCCTTGGTGTGTGTTTTTCCTGGGCCCTGTATCCTGTTCCTGCATCCTGTTCCTGTTCCTGTCTTGTTGCTGACCTGCCTGATCTGACCTCTGCTGACTTCTCCTGCTCTGACCCCGGCTCGTTCCTGACCATCCCTCTGCCTGACCCTCTGTACCACGCTGCCCGCCGTACCTGCTGAACCTGGCTTGTGACCCCCCACCATTCTCCGCTTGCTCCCCCTGTACCTACCTGCCCGATTGATATTGACCTGTCCTGCCTGACGAACGCTTGCATTGTATGTACTGTTATCTGTGGGTGGTTTTGTTGGGTTCGTTTTGCACTGTGTTATGTTTTAGTATTGCACTGCGTTTATGTTTGTATTGTTAGTGTCAATAAATTATATTGTTTATAACATATCTGAAGTCTGCGTTTCCCTGCGTCAGTCACACACCCTCTGGTCATACCCGGGAGCCCTGACACCACCATAAGTATTGGAGGACTCTTACCGGATGGATCTCTTGTCTCTTCTGCATCTCCATGTACAGCCATTAAGAATAAATGCCATGTTTCAAATCACCTTCACAACTCTCCTCATACTCAGTAAGATACCATATCCAACAGTAACAGGTAATCATTCATGACATGAAACATGAGCGAGGAATGCTTAAATGCATGTTTATTAGAAAACGTAATCAATCTACTCACGTCTTAGAACATAAAAGCACTTCTAAACATAAAATACCAGTCCCAGGAGCCGATCTGAGTTGTTTCCTTGTAGTAAACAGTGTGATGATGAGAGTATAAACCGCGCCTGACTCTTTTTTACCATAACGGTCCGCATGTTCTGGTAAAAGTCCTCTAATACTTATGGTGGGGATGCACTCTGGTGTTAGAGATGTTTTGATACACAAGAACCTCTATATTTACGCTGCACTGCATCACCGGGGCTTTTAAATTGATTTTCCTATGTTTAGAACTTTGATATTACTGGAATTTTTTCATTTATTTATTTTTCCATGCACTGTTTTTTCAGTCATATGCTACATTGTTCGCACACTTTATTTAGTTGATATATATAAGGTTGTACACAATTTATCTAAGTGTTTCTGCCAGCTGTTCTTTTAGATCTGCCAGTGCAATTTCTATGGGTATAGAACAAACTAGTATTTTGTCACTTCCGATATTGCCGGATATAAACAGTGCCATTTTTGGCTTGGAAAGCTTATGATAACACTGATCTTGGTGTGATCAGACACTTTTAAGAGCAGAGGGGAGATCTGGGCTCTAATAGATCGCAGATCTCTCAGTTAAAAGTATATATCACTGCCTATTGCTATCACAAGAGATGTTTACATTTCTTTTGATAGCAATAAAAGTGATTTAAAAAATGTAAAGGGACAGTGTCCAAACATTTTAAAGTGTGACTTGTTAGGTATCTATTTACTCAGCATAATACTCTGTTTACAATTTACTCAGTACTTGGTCTTTTATATTTTACAAAAAATGGTATTATATTTTGTTTCTGTGCACTAACATGCATTAAATTGTATTTTTGCGTTTGAAAAACCACTGCACAAATACTGTGTGACATAAAAAAATGTCAAAAAACCACATTTTTATTCTCTAGGACCTTTGCTAATATATAGATAGATAGATAGATAGATAGATAGATAGATAGAGATATATACAGTATATAATGTTTGGGGGTTCTATGTAATTTTCTACAAAAAAAATGGCAGAAATGGCCGGTAAGGCAGTGGTTAAAGAAGAAGCTAAATTTGATGCAGTTCATCAATGCAACCTGAAAAAATAATAAATGCTATTATGTTGCATAGGGGGGTCACCAAACTTCTTAAACAAAGGGCCAGTTTATTGTTCTTTAGACTTTAGGGGGGCCGGACTGTGGCCAGTGGGAGTAAACAATGCTTCAGGCTTGGTGGTCAGTGGAAAGGAGGAATAATGTCCCGTTATTGGTATCAGTGGGAGAAATAGTGCTCCATTATTGATGTTAGTGGGAGGAACAGTGCCCAGTCTTTGGTGTCAATTGGAGGAAAAGTGTCCCAGTTTGGAGACTGCAGATGTAGAGATACAGTATATATTAAACTTAGTTCAAGCACATTATATAACTATATTAAAACATAAACATACCTAGGTTACAGGTTAAGGCCATATTTTATATACAGTATCTGTAAAGCAAGAATCATCATGGTCAACATCATCATTCATATATAGTTGTATTTACAAACTATGATAAATAAGGACATAAAAATAGGCAGTAAAATGTGTAAATTACAGTACACAGCAGAATACAATTATTATAAATTATCCATAAAAATGCATACTGTTTTTAGTGCAGTTCTGACTGAAGACATATGAAACATGACAAAACAGCAAACTCCCTAAGCCAATGTAAAATTTAGACTAAAAAATTATAAACTAGACATTTTAAAGTACAAATATGAGGTTTGCTAAGAGAACAACCATTATTAAAATGTTGTTAAAATGACACTAGCCATTAGGGCGTTAGGGAGAAGAAGCTGCAGGGACTGGTTTAGCAGCAGGGAGGTTCAGAGAACTAAGTAAATCTTATTGTTCCTTTGAACCTAAACAAGCAATTAACCTTTGCAGTGTGGGCACAGCAAGGATAAATTTTTATTTGCCTGGGATTGGGCTTAAAAGAATAAAAAAGCTGCTGGTTTTATCTACAGTCGACATGTATTCATTTAGCAGCTGTCTGAAGCACTCTAGACAATAATGTCTACAGTAACATGGGGGCGGTTTAATTATGCCTTAAAAAAAGTGACATGATGGTAGAGCCATTTCTATCACGCAACTATTCAAAGTATTTCAGAGAACTTATTCAGAGGATCAATTTTTTATGGGAGCTTTTCAGCATTTACTGAAAATCGTAGATGTTAAATATTGCTAAAAAAGTGACTATGATCAACTAATCATATTCAATAATGACAAAAAAACACTTACCCGCAATGTCATTGATTTAAAAAAATGTGCCACTTTTTATGATTGGTTATATGATTTTCTGAATAAATATCACCCATTAACTATACCATGTAAAAAACAGTGCATTCCAAAGCAGGCAATCAAATGCATATAATTTTATTTTGGGGAACAAAAGTTACCCCCTGAGCTCTACCCTAAGTGGGGACAGCATTGTTATGGATATTTTGAGAAGCCCATTCTATGAACAATAAGGCAAACATGGAAATCTATTTTTTAATGTTATTGTAGGCTCAACTCTCTTAATCAGCATAATTGAACCACAAACAAGGTCCTAAATGGAATTTACATATGGCATTAATGTAATTCTGTTTCTGTAACCATATTGATTGATAGTGGCAGAAAAATGTCTTGTTTCAGGCCCAACACAGAAATATATTGCTATCTTCATCATGCATTATACTGTAGATTATACAAATAAAATAAAGCATTATTTGAGTGTTTAAATATTTACTGTCTAAGTTCTTTACTGTTTCCAGTGCCTACAATTACAATAAAACCCCCAAAATTAGAATTGTTATTTATATTTAAAAATTTTTGTATTTTAAATTTAAAATAAGAGAGTGGGTAAGTTGGTACTACCTGTTCAATGGAAACTCCTCTGCTGTGTGCATACTGTATGTTTTTACTGAACTAAAAGTCTAACCAGAACAGGATATTATGAAATTCTGTACGGTATATGTGGTAATAGGGCTGTCTCCCACAGG